AAACCATTACCATCAACTAGGTATCCAAGACATTCAAAACTAGATACACAAAATGAACACTTATTTGGATTTACTGTAATATTCTTCTCAAGTAAACGACGCAATAAAGCAATAAGTCTCTGGTCATGAGCTCCCTTATCAGCACCATGAACAATCAGACCATCTTGATAAACTTCAACACCTTCAAGATCACTAACCACCTTATTCATAACTTCCTGGAATATGGCTGGAGAACAACTTAGCCCAACTGGAAGGAAATTGTATTTAAACAGACCAAAAGGAGTATTAATTGTCGTCAAAATAGATGAGGATTGATCTAAAGGGATTTGAAGATAAGCATCTTTTAGGTCAACTTTCGAGAACACTTTAGAACCATGAAGTCGATTTAGGATATCTTCAGCCTCTACTGTAGTGCATGTTTGCTTCAATAAACGGGAGTTCAAGGTTAGTCTATAGTCACCACATATCCTAGGAGTCTTGCCATCCGATTTCAGTGGCATAACAATAGGAGTACCCCATGCTGAAGACTGAACAGGTTCAATTACACCTTTTATACACAAATCATTCAAAGTCTTATGCACTGCATCTCGCAGACCGTAAGGAATTATTCGTCTTTTGAGAAAGACTGGTTCACCCTGTACTTGAAGTTTTATAGGCTGGATTTTCATACCTCCTCTGCACTTAGCACACGTGGCTATCAAATCTTTAAGTAAAGCATCAGAATTTTCTTTAGAAACTAGGAGAGACAACTCCACTTTAAGCCTTTTCAAATTCTTTAAACCCAGTATTAACAGTCCCGTTTCGCTAACTAAAAATTCACATGGTATGTATGAGGAATTATCATCTCTTATTAGCAATTCACAACATCCTCGTATAGGCAGTTTGTGTCCAGTAATCCCCAATATTGATACTTCAGTGGGTCGAACCACAACGTTAGGATCTAACGATTTCAAGTTCTTGAATGAAATAATGGACTCTATACTGCCTGTGTCCACAATAAAGTCATGAAATGAACCAAGTGATGTATATAGTCGCTTTTGAATATGAGCATTACCTTTCGAAATGGTAGACAAAGATAAATGATCATTAGGATCAGCTGAATAATTGGAATCTAAATTACAAGCTTTAGTACTACTTGAGGCAAAATGAACAGTAGCTTTGCATACTGCTTGAATGTGTCCTATCTTACCACATCTAAAACATTTAGCATTACGAAATGTACAATAATAACAAGAATGAAGTTTTCCACATGATAAACATTTGCCAAACTTGGTCTCACCTTCTTGATTTCCTTTGTAATTCTATTTTGAGACACCGTTCATATTTACACGCGAATAGGAACCTCTGTTAAACGAACACAATTTTGATTGACCCTGAGATTGTTTTTCATTATGACAACTAAACAAAGTATTGGAAATCTTCATCGACTGAATATCAAGTTCATTCAACGCCCCGTAGTTAATGCACGCAGTTCTAACATCTTGAAAGGAACAGTTTGACATTCTTAACATCTCTCTTTCCAAACTAGGTATGTTAATTCCTGCAATTAACCGGTCTCTCAGCTGCACATGAAGCTGATCACCGAAATTACATTTGACAGCCTGTTTCTGCAATTCAAGAATAAATTCCTGAACATTTTGGTCATTTTGACGAATCATCTTATGAAATTTCGCTCTTTCACGGCATTCAAAACCAGGGCACTTTACATGATTCAATAATAACTCCTTAAGCATTGCATAGGGAAGTGAAATAGGTTTCTCTGGATATGCCAAGGTTTTCAATAAGCTGTACGCTTCTTTTCCGATGGATGTTAGGAAATGAGCCACAATTTTATCATCTTTGACATCTTTCCTGGTCATACTCCAGATTTCAAACCTTTCCAAATAATCTTCAAAAGCTTCAGAAGTAGAATGAATATCTAGCTGTTCCATAACAAGTTCCATCGCGACGTCAGTGTAATGAATAGAAGTATATATATCAAGAACTAAAGATATGCACAAACGAATGTATTGTATTTAGAATTCGAAATCAAGCATTCCACAACAACAAGAAGTTACTAGTTCATTCAAACACCACAAATATGTTTTTCACCGTGGATTTATTTATCTTATCGGTGACGGTCTCGTTATTAGTATTTATTAGTGATCATAGTCAATCTTGACTCGATCACCACTTAAGACGTATGTTGATTGTTTCTCTGGTTTTCAGAAGGGGCATTTGTTTCGCGAAGTAGAAGAATTTCGCTATTAACCATGAGATCTCATCACTCTTCCATATGAAGGCTGTTCAAGATTTGCTTAATTTTTAGAATTGTTTTCAATCACCAGAACACCTAGGGATAAACTGAAAGCTTTGAATATTATCGTTTTTGAGTTCATCCGTTTACCATACTTTTCACTGATACATAATGTAGGACTCAATACATTAAGGTTAAGCGGTATAGTCTGTTCTCTGTAATTGACACTAAATATAGTAATTTATAAAATACTGAGAAGGGATTAATAATTTCTGAAATCTTTTTTACATCACTAGTGTTGTATCATGTACAAGTACATTATTTTTTATCGATAGGTACAGAGCTTGGGTGCATGAACCGAGTGAATATTTCTTGTCATGAAGATTAGTTAGAATTATGTTTTCCATGAAGCAGAATGTCAAGTCTATGCTCACAGAAGATAAATGTCTCTGTAACAAATTTTTTGTGTAAAAAGTGTCCGAACACAAAGTGTCTTTTTGTCTGGTTAATAAAATGAAAATAGTTATAAACCTTTGCCTTGTGTTGTGTCATCTATTTAACCACAAAATTTTCAAAACTACTACACTTTCATCGAAACGAAGTATGAACACGGATGACTTATATTAGTGGATCGGACGGCACCGGTTAAGACCTGATTACATTATATGAGTATTTATTTGACATCTGAAATATGTCAAAAAGAATACTTTAATTAACTACTTTGAATAACAGTCAAATTTGTACACATAAAACTCACCAGTAATTAGAACTAATTTAATAATCATTTATTGAACAAAAATAGATATACAGTATCATGAAAATAAATACATATGACCGAGAGATATAAGTTAATCATTGAAATGTAACTACACGTGATGGGCGATTGGGAAAAGTAATGTTTATTCCGCACGCATCATCGCGTTTTACTTATTCGTATTTCTGCTTTGTGTAAATATATTTTCCTCTTATCTTTATATATATATAGTGATATTTAGTTTATTTTACTTTTCTTCTTGATAAATTCTCACTTTGTTGCCATTTTTATATTCTTCTGAACAATGTAATATTTTGCTGCGTATATTTAGATCGACATATTCTCTTGTTTTGAATATACATGCCTGTTTTTACTATTTATCAAACACCTGATCACAGATGTTTAATAAATCAGCTGTATTGCACTATTTACACTATACTGTGATGAATCATAATCACATTTGTCGAGAAAACAAACTATGCTTAATAGCAGCTTCCTTCGTTTGTGTTCATACACTATGAACGTGTGATTATCAATAACACTGTCGTTTGAAAATGACATTAACTGTTTATTGGACAGAAATTTTTGATGCTTGTCAATTTATTATCTGTTGAGAACATCAATATTCACTTATTTACCTAGGAATCTATCGGAATCTATAAACGAAGTGTTGAATAATGTTATTCGTAAAAACTTTAATACTTCATAGGCAGTTGTTATAGCTCATATAATAATCATACCAGTCAGCTTTCCTTAGGAAGTGGAAAGTTCTAGATCACTTGGTAGTGTTGTAGTGAAGGAGAACACAGGTGAGGGTAACCGAACTGTATTTACCTCGAATTACAGAGTTAAGTGGTAAAATAGGAAAACCATATCGTAAACCGTTAATTTGCAAAACATCAATCCATCATCAATCCATTGTCTGACATTTCACTGTTAATGCGTTTCATACAAATTCCATTGTCTTCCTACTCTTCCTTTCTTGATCTTCCCCCATCTTCTGCTGCCAGACATTACGTTTTCACTCGCGTCATATACTACTTATAAGTAGCGCGCAACACAGTATCATTTACAGACAAGGGGGATCCGATGTAGATGTGACTGCATGAACCATCAATAAAAGGGTAGCATTCCTACAGTCGAACAATATCCAGAACTCAAATAAGCTGTGAACTAGAATAAAAATCAGCATTTTTAATACAAATGTCAAAACAGTTATATTTTATGGGGCTGAAACTTAAGGAACAGCGATACCATCATCTTAATGGTACAGGTATTTATAAACAACTGTCTAAACAAGATAATGAGGATCTGTTGGCCAGATATCATCAAAGACCTTCTGTAGCACAGAAGAAATCAGCTTCTAGCTGAGAAAATTAGAAAGAATCTCTGGAAGAGGATTTGACACTCTGCGGAAATCACCAGACTGCATTACAAGGCGAGAATCAACTTGGAAACCTCACGGTCAAGAGAAAAGAGGCAGGCCGAAGAATATATTACGCCAAAAGTCGCAGGCAGACATCAAAAGAATAAGTATCACTTAAGAACAGCTGGGAAGGAGAGTCTAGAACGGAGAATGTTGCCTTTGATCTATGAGAGGTTACAGACGGAAGAAAGTATATTAATCTATGAATCGTCACCGGAATAAAATAAATTCCTTTTGTCAAACATAGAATTTGTTTTTAATCAAATTATAAAAGAAGTTTTATAGTAATGAAACTACGTAATTAATAATTATTAGTTACAGAAAAAGCTATTTGTTTTCAATAGAATCCTTTTGTTTTCCTAAATTTCATTATTTTCAGTCAAATTGATAAACTAATCTTAACTGATTTTTATTTGACAAAGATCTGTCAAAGCAAATTAGTGGAGATTTCAATTGTATATATTTTGCTTATTTTTCATTATTGATTTCTCTATACATCTACGTTTTAGTCATCCTAGTACTATATATAAATATATATATATATATATATATATATATATATATATATATATATGCACGTCAAAGAAAACTCAATTTTTTTATTTTTGTAACTTTTACGTAAAATATTTACTGAGATGTATATAAATTTACATGTGAGGAATATAAGTTGCTTTTGATAGATGTAATATTAATTTAACTTGTTGCCAAAGAGTTTCATATTGTTTGCAAATGACTGAACAAGGAGTCTTGCAGGCGTTTTCCTTAATCGACACTGACAATGATGGGATAATCACAACTGAAGACCTTGAAAGATATTCTTTGAAAAGTACAGTAGCAGATGATTTTGTATCAGTGAGTATTTAAAATACGTTTACATGTGTGTTTACTGATTCATATGTAATAAATGTTTTCTAATGCTTAAAGTGTATGCTAAATGTATTTTTCATTTGGTATTAATTGATGATAGATTTTAGTTTAATCTTATCTACATGCTGTTAATGTTCAAGTTTCTTACTCGATTTTCATGTTATAAGAAATTAAATGTAATATAAATTGTTATACATAGTTTTTCATTTTTCACAAGTGACTAGGTAAAACTCCTGATCATAGACACGACTAATTAACAGCACTTGTGTGAAAAAAGCCACTAGGCAAAAGGATAAATCATTTAAAGGTATTACTACCAAAGTCTGACAGTTTTTGTCTATTCTCTGAGGAAACGGCTTACGTTAAGCCACAAAATGTCAGAAAGTTTAATTTTCTCCTCATTGATTATCGTAAATATGTCGTAACATTGATTATTAAGTATATTATTATTTACATGATTATTTTTTTGTAAAATTTAGCGGTCTACTAAACCAAACAATTGGTTAGAATCAACTGCATGTACCTGTTAAAATCACGACTAAAGAATGAGGCTGGTGTAAGGTTGAAACTGAAAAACAACATTAATTAAATGTAAAATACAAATTAACTTTTCGAATGAGAAGAGCTCCACGGATTTTCGAAAAATTAAAACTAAATCTTACTAAGAGCATGGAAAAAGACAATCAGCACACTAATATTATAGAGAGAAGGTCATTACTTTCTCCCAGTCCGTTTCATCCTATGATATCTTTGTATCAGGTGTTTCCCGGACATTTAAGTCTTCCATCAGAATTGTCAAGTACTTTGCGGGGCACTTCTCGACGACTGACTGCATCCCCCCATGGAATCGATCCTTATCGTCTTCCTTGTGTTGGTTAATGGGTGCATAGCATTAACGTTCTTCACCTATCAGGCTTAAGACCTTCGACAAGCTAAGAGGGGACTTGGGTAGAGGTGATAGACAATCTCACTGAAGGTAGTAGGTAGAATAACATCTATGCTATTAGTATTCTCTCAATTACTGTCAACCATTATTCAGATATGTTATTTCGAAACACGCTACATTCATGCTAATAATTAGCTAGAGTTAAAGAGTTAGTTATCACTTTTATAATCATAATTTATATGGTTTAATCAAGATCTATTTTTCTGAAAAAATATGTAATCATAAGACCACTTTAATATATTTAATTTTTGCTTCACTATAGGACGAAAAGTACTATTTCTTTGAATTCCTCTGATTGTAGAAGTGGAAAAAACTGTTCGATGAAAACAATACTGGTGAAATAACATTTATTCATTTTTGTGACGTTCTTGGTATCAGCAAAAAGAAAAGAGAGTAAGATTCGTAATTTATTTATACTGACCATTATCTTCACTAAAATACACCTTTTTAATTAACAGTTGTTTGGAATGTTACGTTGATTGTTTCCTTCCATTTGAAAATTCCTCTTCCTCAGTGATTCAATAAGTCTGTAACCAAGACGTCCTCTTAATGGATGGAGTATTGCTACGAAGTAAACCAACAACTAACTGCATTCATCTGTCAAACAATATATGTCATGTTGAGTTAGATAAGTAAACATATTTGATTCAGGCATTTGGCAAGCATGGATGTTTGACAGCCTAATAGTATCATACAAGTATGTCCTATGGTCTTCTTACCTTCATTTCCCAAAACTCAACTAGTGAATTATTTCTGGTTCGCAATTTTTTACTATGACTCCATAGAATGAACGGTTTTAAAGTTTATTAAAGTAGATTTTTGTTTTGACTGTCTTACTTATAATAAACCATGTGGGTTCTGGATAAATATCTGTTATCTATACCGAATTTCGTGACACATTGAAAAGTATTGGGTTGTAAAGTAAATTTAGTTCATTTTTCGACATTTATTCATAATTTAACTAACCAGGTCATTAGGGTACTTAGTTCCTGAAAACAGGATCCGAAAATTGATTTTTTCTGTTTATATATATATATATATATATATATATATATATATATATATATATGTATATATACAAAAGCCTCAAGTATTTCTTCAGAGTTCATCAAATACTTTCGGTAACTGACAGTTGTCGTCCTTCAAAAATGTCTTCGGTACGAAACTATTAGCACGTATACTAACTTACCTTTATATCTATGAAAGTGAGAGATTGTTTAGATTTGCTGTGTATGTAAACTAAATTGTAACATCACATTACAAACATGTGATTTATATTATTCTTGATTTAAAAATAATGTTACTTTAGAATTTATAGATAAATTAGATACTTTTAACAGCAGCCTAATATTTTTCATTTTAGTTGAGGCAGTCGAAAAATACATAAGTCAGCTGACGACCCATTGCAAGTATCTCGTAAATACATTGTTCTAAACTGGAGATACGAAACTAAAACTAATTGTACCTTAGCTGTATGCTTTGGTTGTGGAGCTTTCATTGTACTTCTGAACAACATCATCAGCACAAACTTCAGATAGAATACATATATACATATATATATATATATACATATATATATATATATATATATATATATATATATATATATATATATAATATAGATTGCAAGAAACACTACCTCTGAACATTTTATTCGCAAACTGTGTATTACTTGACTTAAAATTTTGGCCCAAATGTCTTTGTCCGATCTAAAAGACCTTAATATATATATATATATATATATATATATATATATATATATATATTAAACACGGTGTTTATAATTTCGTTTGCAGTGAAATACTTAAAGAAAGAAATATAGTAATTCCAGAAACAAGAGTGAAACCGATCGTTTACTCAACCAACCTAGATCCAGAAATGCAACAGAAAGTATTGCGACTGATAAAATATGGATGGACTAAACAAAATAATGATTCAAATTTTTATGAAGTCACTATACGATGTGATCGTGACTTTGGTCCACGTTGGAGAGGACGTGTTATAAACGATACACAGCCAACAACACAAGCAGCTAAAGGAAAATATCTCGTATTCAGTTGCGATAATGGTGAAACTAAACTTTGTCTCTGGCAAGAGAATGAAGATCAGAACAGAACCTCAGGATGTTGTTGCTGTTAGGTTGTTATAATTCTGAAAGTAATTCATCCTGATTATAATTAATTGCTGTAGACTATTGTTGTATTGCTACATATTTGTTTGCATGAGGTAAATATAAGGCAACCGTTATATCACACAGAGAAGGTTTTTCAAAATATTGACTTTTAACTCACGTAAGACGACATTTTAGTGTGTGCATTTAAAAAAGCCCTGAAAATCCAAACTGTTTTAACCATTATAGTAATCCGATGTAAGTAACTTCATAATCATAAAATCGTATATATTGCTTATTTTTTAATCATAGATGAGTGTAGTTGCACTTGATTTTAATATGAAAGAATGAAAGAATTTTCAGTTAATCCAAGAATTTAACTATCTTAGCAAATATTCAGCCTAAGTATGAAAAGAATAATATAAACTGAGTTCTGTTAACTAATTTTTAAACAGAACTCATGTTTGTAAAAAATAGCTATAAAAGATAAAATATTCAACAACAGGATTTGTCAGTTGCTTAAAGGAAAATATTTTTAATGTATAGATGATCATGAAGAATAAAATATGACGTAAAAGCCAAAGTCAAATATTTGTTTTTTTAATTTCTTTGATTATCAAACAGAGAAGTTACGCTACATCGTTAAATCACTTCAAAAGATTTTAAAATATGTTACATTCACAACTAACATTAAAATAATATGAATACATCTAACTATTCTACCAGTGGCTTAGGAAATAATAAAACAAGTCATTCTAGTGAATATGTATGATTATAGACAAGTTATTGTCTGTTTCAAGTAGAGTTCATCATCTTGCTAGCTAAGAGATACTTCAATGATTTCTAAGTTCTGATGAGATATGAAGAGTTTGTTATTGTATTTGCCATACTGATAATCTTCAGTTACCAGATTTATATTCTGGACATGTATTTCAGTAACTGTCTCTCGGACTAAATAATTAAATAATATTATCAAACCTCAATATAAAAAATTTTTGATTTCTTATGATACATTTTTACTTTGCTATCATGAAAGTAAAATATTTCCTACTATGCGTGCAACATTATAAATACAGTAAACGAAACTTCAAAAAAAATTATTCAGAATAGGAAATAAGCTTACATTTTCTCAACTTATAATCATTGTAAACACATGTAGACAAAATATGCTGATTATATATTAGGAAGTGAACATTTACAAACAACAGTTCTTATGCAGAATACGTGTTTTTTGTAAGTGTTAATTTCAATGAAATCAAATCGAAAAGTAAAATCCGTTACAGGTAATTTTAGTGAAATGGTTCGACAAAGAGGTGTTTTAGAAAACATGGTGTTCTTAGTTAGTCAACATACCGATGATAGCCAACTGATCATAATGCTCTCAGACAACATTAAATTCACGTACGAGAATGAAATTGAACAAGGCAAGTTATCATTTTTGAAATTCCTTAGTGAAAAAAAACCTACGTGGATTTCTACATCCAAGTGTGTACCGAAAAATGACAAACTCTAATCGTTGTATTGGCCCCAAATCTTTCTAGAAAAGCGACTAAGATTATTAAATCCGAAGAGGACAGGTAATAGGAACACAAACATATAATTAACACCTTACATTTTCATAAGTTTCTTATAAGTATTATTAACAATGTAATGAAAGGAGACGATTTACTGCTAAATAATTGTTCGATTAAAATACCATGGATTAGTACCGTAGTTTTACCATACTACTAAGATACAACAGAAGAACTCCAGAGAGTCTTAAAATGATCAATAATAACCGCACATTACGAGATACCTTTCGTAACTCTCTGGTTCGTATAAAGGATAAGATTTACTTTAAATTAATACAGAATTGTGTCTATAAATCAGGGGTGGTCGATTGTGACGCCTTCTATATTGAAAAGACATCATGAAATCTTAGCTCGAGCAAAAGAACAGCTGAGATACAAAACGGAACTACCTAGCAATCTTGTAAAGCTTAAACACTCCAAATTAAATTAACAGCTAATGTACATATACTACTCGCAGCAGAAAAGAACGTCTCACTATCTATTCGACCTGAACCACCCATTCAAGCTATCATATCTGATTCCTTTCAGACGTTACATTGTTATCATATATTCAGTCAGTCACTCACAACATAGAGCTTCGTACGTACATAAGTTCGAGTTGTCATACCACATTAACACAGAGACTCAATTGTCGGTTGGTATAAACTGTAGAAGTCTTAGCAGTTATAAAGAAGATTAGGGTCCGAAGATATTATTGAAGAACTAGTAAAATAATCTTAAAAAGAGAAAAATAAAGGTGACGAATAATCCGGAGGATTAGGATTTAAGAGGACACAAAGAATGTGTGCATCTGTGCTATTGCAAAAGCTTCTGAGATTTGTCATTCAAGGTCTTTAACCATCTATTACTGTCATCTCGTGGGCGCCGACCAGGTAATCTACACTTACCGACATGACTGAATCCAGTAGTTAGTGACTTCATGGATTTGAGTTATGCTTTGGTTTGACTAATGCAACTCTAATCTACCACATTTTTCACACCCATTATCAGATACAAATGCACAAGCATATTTCCTATGAATCATTTTGACCAAAGTAATATGACATTAAATTAGCCAACCCTCCTTGTATTAACTGAACTAAATGTTTTTGCTTTGCTCCGTCGTAGTATTTAAACCTAGCTTAGTCTGAGCTAAGCAAGTCAGAAAATCTTAACTTTTCTACACATTAGGATACTACAAATATGTAAATTTCATCACTGTCAATCTACCCAGTGGTCAGTGTGCATGAAATTAATATTATGTACGCAGAGCATTCGCTTTATTAAATTCTTTTCAGGTTGTACTATTATATATATCCAAATTAATTATCGTAAATGTAAACATTTTCGAGGTAAATTAAGATAAAACAAAAACGAAGGAATTATAAAAAAAATTATTAACGACTGTCAAACTTGTTCAATGAATGAATCAATTCGGAATAGTTTATATGTAGATAATTATTGTAAAGATGATTAATCTGACTCGTCAACTTGTAAAAGTTTATGCGTAAAATCGAATTGTGATCTTAACTATCAGAATAAATACCATAATAATGTACTTACAAATTAACAGTCATGTAATATGCAGGGCAGCGTGAATGAAGTACAAATAATAAGCTAATAGAGGTGGATGCAGTACTTAGCGGCCCATTATAATCAATTTATTACGGTTTACATAATTTCGAAGATTCAGTATTTAGAAAAAAATACGTAACTCTAGTGACGTATAAAAAAGCTCATTCAAACAAACAGAAGATATAAGATTCTTATTCATGTTACTTACGATTTTACTCACCAGACTAAATTTTTTATACCGAAGCACATTTGCCGAAAGTACAGTATGGTGAGCTCTTGCTCCTATCTTGGAGCACATTCTAGAAACACTGAAAACAAAGGGTCAACAGGTTTTCAACAATGCCAAAATATTGATAAATTAAAGTTTTTCAAAATAATCAATTTTCACGCAAGTTCCAATTTACACGTTACACCCAGGATATCTCTGTTGACAAGTTGAAATCAAACATGGGGAATCAAAAGGATAAAAGTGTAAATCTCAATTGTTTTCACTCATTTTTCGGTACTTGTGAGCTTTATTAATCTCACTCCAATAAACTACCATATTTTCTGATTGCTGCTGTTATTATGTAACTCTGGCATAAATTTCTGGTTTTTTAGAAATATGAATTCAAGTATCTTTAAACGTTTAAAGCATCTCTCCATTTATTAACTTCCATCATATTCTGAAATGCATCATATTTTCGGTTTAGTAGAATTTATCAACAGGAAATACTGTATGAAATAAATCATTAGTCTCGATGAAATCACTGAATTACATAACGAAAATATCAAAGTCAACTAACAAAATTTCCAACAAAAAAAAACATAATTCCACATTTATTATCTACTGATCTGTTTCAATCGAAGAACTGATTTATTACATAAAATACGAAAGAAAGAAGAAACTAAGCAAAAAGTATTGTATAATCAAGGCTCAATGGGGAAATCAAAATGTATACACAAATCGATATTAATGAATATTTTTCTGTAAAGAATTAATATTCGAAATCAAATATATAATGTTTAGTTAACGAGACTTTTAGAATAGATGTAATGAATTTTATTAGTAGGATTTCATTCAGTTCATCACTGAAATATAGAGAGATATGTTTTGAAAATTACCTCACCAGACATTTATGTTTTTCAGATGACTTTCTGAATTTTCGATTGATATAAAAATTATTTTTTATCTATTGAGTAGTGTAACAGTAATTAGGATTATACCAATGAGTTACGAAACATTCAGTGATGCTCTCTCTTCATTCAGAAGAAACCCATGTTTACATGTTCAACTGAATTATTCATTTGGTTGGTTAGTAGACGGTATTCAGCTGACATAGAAATTACCTGTTGATTTTTTCAGAAGAAATATATAATAAATAGAATATTATGTGTAGTAGCTTAGAAATTTATTGTTATGAACCAATTACTTTTAACAAAAAAGCTATTAATCTTATAACTGAAATGAACTATTCAGTATACATTCGGTTAAATTTTCTTCGACAAGCTTGGAAATATCTGAATTTTTGTTCGTCTTATTTAAACATGGACGAAACAGTAGCTGTTTGTAGAGAAGCGTAGTTAGATTATGTGAATTTAAATATTACAATTCAGTTGATGTTTAAAGTCATTTAGTGATTTCGGAGACCAGTCGCCATTATAAATGAGCTTCAGTCATATTGGACCCGTTATCTGTGATTTTAAAAATCAATTTTCCCATAGAATTTTTTCATGAAGAATTAAGAAACCATAAATGCTATCGTCTATATAAAATACCAAGTAGACGATACTTGACGTTATGAAAGTTTGGATGCTCCACGGTTGGTTGGTTTTTAAAGTAGACCTTTCAGATTGTTATTAAATGAATTAGAGATAGATCAAATATATGTATAGTTTGTCTATGGATTAATCGTTTACTTCAACTGTAATCGTTTGTTGAGCGAATGTTAAGTAATTAACTTAACATCGGTATACCACCTGTTAGGTTATTTCCAATGGATTTATTCAAGTGATTCTCAATCAGTCTTATTAGATATGGTTAAATAATGCTTATCGCTTATCTTTTTTTTACTTGTTGCGATATGCTTACAGTATGGGATGAATTGTCGGTTTATTAAACACTTCGTTCTGTATATTGCCAGCGTAATCTCTATATCTTCTCTCATAAAACAAACTGATCTAATCAATTTGCTATAACTTATGATAAGGCATTAGTCTAGCATTAACACACAGCGACATGACATGAAATAAGCTGTAAAACGTTTATCATATACAAAGTATATCATGTGATAACAATAAAAGATAGCTAAAACTAAGAAATAACCAAAATCCTTAATAGATCTGAAGGTAGTCAATTATATATATTATAGTAACAAATCAATTACAAAGAGGTGAATACTTTCATATAAAATATTTCATGCTGAGTATTTAGCTGACTGACAACAATGTCTACTTAATGTACACATGTATTTATAATCAGATGCACAAAATGTTTTGTCAGTAAAAATGTAAAAACCTCCATTGCTAGTCATTTCAATTGTTGTCACAGTGTCGAAATAAAAAATGTTTATCATGAATTTGTAGCTTATCTAATAGTGAATACATTAGTAAATCAATATACATTATATAGCTTTCAAAAAAAGTCTATCACTCAACTGCTTTCACAAAAAAATACTGGTATGCAAGATAAATAAAGCTATCTCATACTGAATGTACAGTAACTAAAGTTGGAGTATTACTGATACTAGATTGAAGCTAGTCTGTTTTAAGAGACACAAATCGCATGATTTAAGATTTACATTACGATTAAAATTTATGATAAGGGATTCGACTTAAAGCTGTTATACATGACTGCTTTAAATAAATATTTTGATGGTTACGGTTATATCTATAAGACATTTATTATTGCGAAATATGGTCATCGCTACTTATATAGGGAGTGAAAATTATGTTGGACATTCATACCATATTATTTTGGATGTTATCTAACCTTTAGTAATTGAATGTATCTAATGTTTCGTTTACAGCTAGTTGTGCTAATTTTTGTCTTTAACTTTTCTACATATTGGTTACTTTATTTGAAAAATATAACGTTTTGTGCCCGCTACATATAATATATCTTTCTTTCAATTTACTAAGGGCCTGCACGTTAACGTTTCAGTTTTGTAACCAGTAGGTTAAGGTAACTAAGCGTTTTATCTATAATCTAAATAACTAGTTAAAAAAAAATGAAATTCCCTAAACGATTGTACATAAACCCAAAGTGAAATAACGCAATTTATCAAAGTACAAAAGGCGGTTGTTATCTCCTTTTTTTTATTAATCAGACATTTGTATTTTCACCTATAGATGTTCAAGAGTCATATTCATGCGATGTTAAATTCAACACATTAAACTCAATTATTTTTCTCGCTGAGATGAGTATGAACAAATTAGTAGCTTTTCAGAATTTTGCATAGATCCACTTATTAATTTGTTTAGTTAACTAGTTATTATTAGTTTTATTCTTCTTTCATGAAAGTATTCATATTTCTTTTATCTGGTAAACAGACCGAATCTAAAATCTCTAACTTTGATAACAGATTTGTATTCTATAATTTTGTTTAAACTGCTTTTAGGAATAAATAGATTTCAGTGCTCAAATACCAAATGTTTGATAGATAAACTGATCTCTTACCAAAATAATAATAAGATAATTTTGCGCAATATTATTGATAGGGGGTAAACTTATTACATTCTAAATCAATCTTGAATTAAGACGTTCGGATTTATTATTATACTAAAGTTCAGGAAAATCTATCACATGAACAAATGTCTAAAACTAAGATGCAGAATGTTAAAACAATTGCCAAATATCAATTCTGTTAAACACAGCATGCAAGTTGCGCTGTTTCCATAGAGATGTGTGATTTTTGAGTGCATTTACTTGATGCTCACACTTAATTTCGATGAAAATGACATTTGTTTAATAAGTCTAGTTATGAAGTTTCACATTATTCTTGAGATTTTGTGATTTTTAATGAGATTTTGTTAGATATTTGACTACCTGTTTGTATAAGAAAATATGGAGTCATAAAAATATCTATAAAAATCATTTAATAAGTCAACTTATAACACGTGCCAAGGCGATAGTTGCTAGACTTTTCTTTCACCTTGAACATGTACACATAAGTTGGATAATATGACATGTGGTGAATAATTGAGCTAATTGGTCGATATATTATGCCTGTCATCTAATTCAACTTATTTGGCAAGAAGATGCAAATTCAACCATGATTAACAACGATATAGAACAGAGTAATTATAAGGAAACATACACACTAATAATTCACACTATATGCTCGCAGTACACGACAATAAACTAACAAAAATATGATCATGTGTTCAGTTGCAATGCAGATTCTACTTTTATATCATTTGTGTATGTGTTACTTAAAACACAAACACTTTCACTTAAAATTTGTTAAGAGTATATATATATATATATATACATATATATAGCATTAATCGATTCCCTATTGGAAACTGTTTACAACATTTTTACTCAAACAATAAAATCTTTCAATAATAAATACCGAGCCATCAGATTGTTCAGAAGATAATAAATTCATCCACATAGACAGGTCAATCTATCATGCCAAGAACAATTAAAAGACCTCCGGGAGTGGAAGATTTTGAAAGATGTCATCATAGACAAGTACTAGTTAACAGTTTTCTGGAAGTAAGTTTATCTTACACAATCGATGCTTGATTGTAATGTCCATTGTGACAACTTTTTGTTTATATATTATTTTAAAACAATTGAAACTTGAGTGTTATTATTATTTAATGAAAACTGCATTATTAGAGTTTCGATTGGCTTATGCACTCCTTCAGTAAATGACTTAATAATGTCTTCATCTAAATACCGACTAACTTTTGGATAGTAAATTCAGATTTCAGTTTAGTTCAAAAGATAATCAACTCAAAGCTACTGAAAAAATATTGAGGTATCAAGGTGGATATAAAAATGCAATTCCGAATATCGATAATGGGAGAGGACAAATAAAGGTGGACAGAATCACCTTCATTAAAAAGTTATATTTTTGGATAATTGGTTAATAGGTTAGTTGTGCGTATACTATTTAGATAAAATTCACTGGAATTTTGTAGTGCTATGACTTTCCTGACAAGTTTTTGTATCGATGTTTACTATTCCATGAAGTTACTTATTATTAATTTAAACCGAGTTAGTAAGTATAGACTGCCTCGTTGAGAACTGCATGATATTAGTGATTTAGCTTGGAAATGGTCCTAGTTTGATAGACACGCTCACTTATTTTCTCATCGAACTTCAGTTCCAGCAATATCTTACAGTTTGTCATTTTCAAAACAAATTGTAGACGTACATACATTTGACACTGCTATTAGTTCTATTCATTTGTATTTATCTTGATAATTTCATCTTAGATGAATATGGTCGGATAATTTCAAAAGATGTAGATATTTTCTGTCTCATTAAAAGCAATGCACTGTGTGTAAGTGACGAAATAAGTGACTTAATGTACTGTGAAACTATATTTGTCAAAATAATTGTCACTTTTCATTGATATCGGATCTCATTTGACCTCAACAAAATGAAATTGTGTCATTACAAAAATCTAACCAGTAAGAAAACAATCTATACAAATGTTGAATTGTTCCTGTGTACTTTTTTCAGTAACACTTTTAGTTTATATGAGAATAAAAAGATAACTTTGAATTTTTAATGAACATAAAAACAAGTAAGATGCAAAAAACATCAATAGCTCGAGCTTTAGATATTCCTCTCAAATTATGCTGTGAGTTTAAAAAAAATTATTTCATCTAACATTGTAGCGATATTGTTTCCTTAAGAAAATTTTAAATAGATCTGACCTCAGTTTTCAATTACACATGACATCTTGAAATTGTGAGAATTACTAAGTCGATTGATATTATTATTATTATTATTATCTTGACCATCCGTTTGTTGAAAAATTGTATGAAATCAGTAATCTAAGCTTGGTATACATTTGTAGACACCAGTATATGATAAAATGTAAAAATAGTCATTACATATTGAAATAATGTTATTACAGAGTTAAACACATCTGGTAGTCTAGTATATACATTGTAATTTCTTGCAATCAGAAAGGTATGAATAAGTGACTTTCAATTTAATGGCAGTTTTGATATCACTATTATTCACTTAAACTTTCAGCATAATTCAACCTGATTGAAACATGTCGAATGACGAATGTTTTATTTTTTATTAGTTACACAATTATACTGTACGAATCTTCTAACTAACTATTTTAATACTCATATCTAATCTCTTGACTTTGTAAAACAGTAAATCTCATTTGTAAAACCGTAATGAGCTATATAGGTGGGTTTAATACTTTAATAACTTTTAAAATTGTTTGACATATACAACAAATTACTTATCACTAAATATGAACTTATGGTTATGCAAACAACAATACATCATTCTATCTGTCTTGTTATGAATATTTTAGTAATGTTTTATTCCAAATAAAAAGCCAAACAACGATAATGTAATTCTCATTGTAGGTGTACATTTCTGCAGAATAAAAACATCTATTGTTTAATCAATTAATAAAAGTAATTAAGAACATTTATTTCAAATGATTCATTTTACAAAGATTAAAAAAATTCATTCTTATAGAGAAATTTATTTCTAAAAAGATAAACTGCAAAAATATCTATCAGTAAATGATTCAGAAATTTTCTAATAAGTCCGACTGTATTAACAATTAGGAGTTGACACAGAAGACTATTGTAAAGTGTAGAATATTTGAAAATACTGGATTACATTCTTTTCATATATTTACAACCTTATCAACATTACAAACCCAATCTAACACTTCAATCAGAATTTATCCCATTTACACTATAAACTCATGTAATGAATAAGTAGGAATCGTAATATCTAGTTACGATCAGGATATTACCAGTCCATTAGTCTGTATTTAGCAAGTTTTAGATAATTCGTTGTACTGTGTACTGAACATACTGTCACTGGTGAGTTAGTGTACTCACTCACTAAAACTTAGTTTACAGTATATGATGCATAACATCACGATAAAACATGTACGAATGTTACAAAAATTAGTAAATCAATCAAAGAGATTCGATTAATGAATGTGCCATCTAAATTAATTTCATTTATTCACGGTAAATGCTATAGCACTTAAGTAAAACTGTAGTGCATGTTTTAATCTTGTTCGTAAGATTTAAAAAAATGGATCAAACACATCGTTTCATACGACTAAAATGAATTTTAGTGGGTGATTTATTTTGTTTATGATCTGCATGTTGCATTTTTAGATAACTATAAATGCTAAATTCGTTATATATCTATCGTGTTAGAAGTTAAACTCTTTAGTTACAACAGAGGGTGATTTTAGCCGGTCAATGGTTATCGTGAAAATTTCATCACAATGTTTATGTGAACGAATGGAAGTGAAATTTATTACGGTAAACTCTTCAAAGTGTTCATAACCAAATGTATTCCTTATATTTAGATCCCGGAAACGATACAGTGATTAGTCACCGGATAGTAACCATTATTGTGTTGCTTAGTCTTAAGTACTTATCATTTAGGTTGGCTTAAAGCTCCGCATCTAATTCAGTTTTTAACCGGATAACTTCAAAAATACACTATATCGTTAGCGTAATTACACCATGTTTTGATCAGTCCATTGGTGAAATTACTGGTTGTGAGACAGTTGATGCAAAAACAGCTTCATTTAAATCTTAACCTTCTGGGAATAAGCTGAATAACGTGAAACATATTCATCAACACGATAGAAAACTATGGTAGTGATATGTTTAGTCTTGTGTATAGCTAAAAAATAATAAAACTTGTCCAATGAATGTAGATTCTTGGATAAATACGTATACATATATATATGTGTAAATATAACTGTATACAGTAAATATATTAATAAATTTGTTAACAATAGTTTAATTCTTTAAAATTTCACAGCTTTTTCAGTTTTATTATGAACTGTTATTCATACATATTTCATGATATCCAAAGATCATTGTTTGTAAAATACTCAACTGACGTAGATATTATATTTAATTCAGTGAAACAAAATGCATCTAGATAATTTCACGTTTTAGAAATCTATGCATTTATTCAATGCAAACTCAAACATACCAAATGGATATGCTACCAGAATTACTGAAAAACCGTCAACAACTATGAATAGTCAGACAATGTAAGTATCTATTTATTATGTTGGGATAATTTAATATTCAACTGTTGTTTTTCAAAAATTCACTTATAAATATCTACAAATGACTATACATTTTGTTAAATAATTTGACTTCATACTTCTTTCATTCGTCTGTATAGTCGTTTTCAAATACTAATTGTCATTTCTATCAGATTGAATTGTTTAGTAAATGTGCAATAATGTTTTGTTTGATATCAAAACACGGACTCATACGTAAATTTAAAAAAAAATTATAATTTTAATTTACAATAATGACAGTTAAACGCCAACTGAAACGCCTACAATAGGATAGTCTGTTGGCAACTTATTTGATCGTCATATTTTTAAATTTTAATACTGTCATTTCAGTGACTAATTAATTATTAATAAAAGAAAAAATTGAACAGCGTACATACATGTACGTTACTTTTAAACTGTAAATGAAATCGATGAATCCATCGGGTTCTGAGAGATTTCAGTGGATTTAGAATGACGTTGGTGAATTTTTCCAAAGTAGTGTTGATTGATAACGATGAAATTTTGAGATATCACAAACATGCCCATATATTCTTGCGGAACAACAGACTGAGATGCTTCGAAACTACACCTTAAAAGAGTTTATAAATTCTACATGGAACAGTCATTAGAGTCATGTTTTATTGATTACAGTGTAAGTTGGAATCAAGTAGTGTTGGATGTCTATTACTTAACTAATCAATAGTACGATAGAAATAAAAGGATTACTACATTGGTTATCTTTAAATATCTATGTCTTTTTATTATCGTATTTTTAGTTACCATTATTCACAAATTATCTTTAGAACCAGCTTTTAATGTTTAATTAAATCTGTAAAATTACCTGTATTGAAAAAATATATTAACACATTATAAACAATGTATTCTTGTGAACTTTTATTTTACTCATCATGTATTTCATACATCTATGCTATGTCCTAATTTCCAACATATGGTTGCTTTATTTTGTAGGGTACAGAAAGAATTAGATTGCATAAAACAATTCGAAAGACAACTGCCACCACAATACCCATGTATTACAATATATTTTTCTGATATGGATTGTGAACTAGAAAGGAGATGTATACTTTATATTGTAAAAAAATGGGATCGTGATGATCCATTTGTTAGTATGTCACCATTTTTGAATGAACTGGAAAGAGATTATGGTAGAGGATGGAAATTTGAACGAGTTATAAATCCAATTAAAGTCGGTCGTGTAAGTAATAGAACAAAGCCGAAATCAACTTTTTGTTTTCGCTATGAACCAGATTGTTATATGTATAAGTTTTATAGCGATGAAGAAACAGGACAAATGAGGTTAATTTGAAACAATATATATATATATATATATTTATAATGAACCTTCATACCTGTTGTTTTACTTCATATACAAATGTCTTTTGAAGTTCAATAACAATGTGTCCAATGTGTTCGTTTCTTTATAAAAACGATGTAGCATGAACTGATAAATAAAGAACTTATTAAATGCATTTTATCTGATGATTTGCTCCTGTATATGAATTGACTCGTAACTGATTAATGACAGTAAAATTATGGTTGATCGTTGATAGCAAAATGGTTTTTTAGTTAGTATACAACAACATATAATCCTTCAGATTAAATGCATCATAAAACGATGTAGGTACATGTGACAAAGAAATTTCTTTTTATTGATTGTTTTATCTTAAAATTCCCGAAACAGAGCAGTTATCTGACTCAGTAACTTAATCTTTCACAATTGGTACTTATATTGAGTATGTCAGTTACAGTCATAAAAATATTTTGAACCGCTGAAGAAGTCGAGACAAGTGATATTGTCAACTGTGTTACAAGATGGTAGGTTCAGGATTATTAAAGTTGAATACAATAAACTAGGTCCGACTGAATGCCCGCCTAACAAAATATATCTGAATGTCTTCTTTCTTCAATCGGGATAGTTTTTGTCACTGTAATAATAGTACTAGTTTCTGATCCATAATAACTCATCATAAAAATGCCTAGCCCTCTAACAGGAGAACTATTTTGGTGCTTTTGAAAATTACAATATGACCAATTACAAAAATTAAATTTAGATTACTAAACAAATAAACGAATCTTAACTCAATCAAATCGAATAAATAGAATGTAAAGTTTGAAATGTCCTTTGTGTAGAAATTAGTCTTCAACAATATATTCGCATTTGTTGTCTGTTCTCCAATCCAAACTGGTTATAGACTTTCTTAGCTCACTTCTTATCTGGTCTCCAAGTATTCAGATCGCGCTGTACACTTCTGTCTCTTAAAACCCTTCTCCTTGATAGCAACTTGTATGAGATTCCCCAATGCATAACACCCATAGACAATCATGTGTGTAGCTTCTACCACATTTGTCTACACACAAATAAATTTCAATATGTTGAGTAAAATGAAAAGCATCAAAATTTTTGTCTTCTGATACAAAGACAGAGAAAAAGTTAAATTACTGGTAAACATTATTAACATGCTGTTTGTTAAGCGATCACACTATCAAGTTAAATAATTAATTAAAATTGTTTTGAAGACAGTATTTTTGAAGTAAAAAATAAAGTTAGAAAACGGATTATTTAGGTAAACATAAGTTTAAATTACATTTATTGATTACTGCATATCTCATAGATGATTGTTATAACTGCTCAGAAATTAAAATAGAAACTAAGTAATCGCTCTAAGGTATTTAGTTTTCAGTAACATTTCAGTTCTATGTTCTTTTTCGATATCAGTAAGATTTTAAGAGTAACAAAAACAATAAATGTTTTTAAGAATTCAACACAAGCTCTATTATTTCGGCTTGCAATGAAGTGATGAATTTTCATTAACCACGAACAGGAGTGTACACCATAATCTTTCAGTGCTAGAGCAGAGCAGGTTCGAGACTTTGATACTTCACGTAGAAGCTTGTATATTTTTACGTAGACTTTATTGATATTGGACTTTGGTAGAATTATTTTAAACAACATAAAACAGAACAGTATTCTAAACAAGATGTTTCAGTAACATACGTAAAAGGCTCAAATAAATCTCAGCTGACAAAACAAACCAACTGCTAGCACTAGTCTGTGGAATTTTTACTTGCATTCATGAGACTCACAAGAATTGAAGAAACCACTGATAACTGCAGCAGTAGGTAAATGCTTTTGTCAGAGAGAATGGATATCAAATAGTATGAGAAAACACTTATGTCCAGTTGCGCTTCCGAAGCGAGCAAATAATAATTATTTCAGAAAACTACAATGAACTTGAAATAAGTTATGACTGAACACACTCTAAGTTAAGCAGTCAAACAAAAAATCCCTTAATTCTAAATGAATAAATGTTTGCATAAATTAATTGGTGACTAAGATAACAAAGACAAATGCATCCTAAATCTTTTAGAACCTCTACTAAGAGCATAAATACAAAGTAACCCTGAAACAGTATCTTCTTGCCAATCATAATTACAAGTATAATTTCGAAAATCAAAATGTTTAAACAACAACTCTACAAGTATTTCAAAAATTAACAAGAATGGCATGATGAAATTTAATTATTTTCATTTCTTCAATGTGATTGATGTCTTATGCAATCATTAAAAAAACATCATCTGTTTAATTTGTATATCTAAACTGGACTTAAGGATAGTTGGATTTGTGAGCATGTTTGGCCTAGTAAAATTTCATGGGCCCTTATATACATGGAAGGATTTATTTTGTTTACTTACAACATTCCTAAAAATAGCTATTTAACTGATGGAAAATGATTTTTTTTAACACGTTTCTATGAATAGAGCAATCAGAATATCAGAATAGCAGGTAATCTGCGCGAAAAGTACGAAAGCAAAAATGTTTAACATAATCTCTAGTCATTTTTAAATGTCCCAAGAGTAAACTGGTTTTTTTGTGACTAAAAATCTATTCAAAGAAAAGAAAGCAGGATGTCAAATAGGAGCTCATCAAGATCATTATTTACAGAGCTCAATGATTTTGACTTCGGATACATTCCTAATTCCGATAGAACTCTAGTGCTTCTAACAAACGGCTGATTCTTATCCACAAAAAAACGATGAACTTTTGGAAGAAATCAAAAGACCAACAACTAAGTTGGTTATAAAATGATGAAATTTGCGTAAGTTTATTTCGTGGATAAATTGAGAATAAAAGTCATGCAATTGTACAATAAAAACACACTTAATGAATTTTTTTGCACTATTCATTAATATGATTAAACTGACTGTGAATTTCAAGTTTTTCAACACGTAAGTAATATATAAAGCTCATACAAATATTTCTAACAATAATCAAGTTTCATACAGTACCAATGTTCATTCAACAATAACATTTTTTCACAATGTGAAATCAACTAATTATCTGAATAAAACACTTAATTTGAGTAAACAGCTCGAGTAATCTTAAAGCATGATTAAAATGGTTCAGTCTTTTTACAACATGTATTTATTTGAAATAATGTGAAATTAAAAATGACTACTTAATTTCTGTTATATTCACAAAGAAAAGTAGATTGAATAAGTAAGTGGCTCATAGAGTGAATTGATAGAAGAAAACCGTGTTCAGACAAATCTGATCTGGATCCAGTACATTGTAAGCAAATCCATGATTGTATCGCAGTACTACCGTGTTATTCGTAGCTAACAACCATTAAACACATTTAAAACAAATATTATTATGAACACACATATGTCGTTATAAAGCAGATACTTTACACTAACTGACCTCTTCCTGAACATTATACTTTTTTACACAGTTAAATGTTATTTACGGTTTACTACATTTGACGAGGCTGTATGACTTAATTTATAATTTGTGAAGACTATTTTGATAATGAAGAAAAACCTCCTTTCTGTTTTAAATTTTTTAAAGGTTTCATAAACTTACTCATCTTTTTAGAATACTTTTTTTTGTCATGTTTGAACATTCCCAACAAATCGATTTCATTTCCTTATGTTAAGTTAACAAACTGAGTTTGAATAAGATTTATTTTTAGTTTAAAAATGTGCATTTTCAAAGGATTTATTTGATTGAGAATATGTCGTTTAAGTGTTTTAGAATAAGGATAAATTTTATTGCGCTTTAGTAATCCACTAATGTTTTTTTCGTTCATTTTTTAAACCATTCAGCCAGTAAATTTCAAGGTTATGTCCTTTCAAATGTGGTCATAGTTATACTTAATGAACCTTTAATATGTTTTAAATGTGAAATCACCTCCAGGTAATTTTAAAATTTTTATGAATCTTATGCATAGATGCTTTACCTCTAAACTGATAGCAGTTATATAAACCGCCGATCGTTTTTCAGTTGTCATGCTGAAAACTTTGTATTGTTAAATGTAGATAAGACTAAGCTTTGAATAAATATAGTACATTTCGTTTTAAAGCCAGTAAACAATAATATTTTATCAAGTGTACCAATATAGGATAAATTAATCATTTCATCTCTAAGAAATGTGTGAAATAATTTTTATATCTTCTGTTCCACAACTTATTAACGTTACATTACTGCAAAAGAAAGCCACATTCGTCTTCATATTTTCTTTGTCCAATATTGAATATGATTACTAGTTTAGTAGTTTTTACATATATATTTGGCACAGGTTCACTTTGTTTTACTGAAAGAAAACAACACAATCTATGGGTTTGTTTCTAGCTTTAAGACTTCTAGATCCTTTGCACTAGAAGGAATTTAGATTTATATTGTTTTATTTCGTTTGTCAACATAACAGATGAAACGAAGATCCAGAAACAGAAGAACTATGGCTGTCCGTAGGACACAATTTCCTGACTTATTGTGTTGTTTCTCGGTTCACAAACTCCAAAGAGAAAATAAATGTTCCATCCAGATACAGTCTATTTAATTATTTCAATGAAAAGATGGAGATATATGCAAAGCTGTAAAAACTGTTAAGATCGCTTTCGACTGAGAGTTAAAACACTTATAACTTATTGAATAAAAATTATTTTTGTGAAATTTATATGAACATTATTTTACGTGCGTAACTTAAGGTCTAATATTTAAGTGCTCCTAACATAGTAATAAACGTGAATAAAGTAGGAAATTTTAGGGGGAATCGTAGATGAACTGGTTTTTATTATTACTGATCAAAACTGATTCTGCTGTTCTAAGCAGTATTCATTAAACTTGTAATGCTTATATCCAGAGTGAAAAATATTTGTAACGATGATGAAATATGAACTAAACGTCAGATCTTCATCAGTGTATAATTGATATGTATATATATATATATATATTTACATAATAATTAGTATAATTCATATGTCGATCATAAAGACATCTCCATAAAATAATGAATGAAAGTTTTGATTATAATAACAGACGAAGCAATGTAAAAATTAAAATGATTAACCATAATACATTATTAATACCAATATAATCAATACCCATCGGGCATTATTATCATTACTAATATTGCTATTATGTTGCGGAGGTCGTTTTCAATTTATTCACCTTCAATAGTCCACATATCTACCAATTTTTATGTCAATCTATTTAGACCATTAGTAAACATAATGTACACAAAATATTTACACGACTTGTGAAACTATATCCTGTGAGACGATAAAAACTTTTCAACTAAATTACATTTTGACTCTAACTTGTAACTTTGGATTTTATCTCAGGAAGAAATCGAGTAACTGCTATATTCTAATTCATTGGATGTTGATGTGAACTATCTCTTAACATTGTTTCCATTTTACATTTAAACTACTCATAAGTAACTACAAAGTATACAATTCATTTTAGCAACTTCTGACGAAAAGTCTTAAATATGACTCACAGTGGAGCTATTGACACTGTTGGAATCATGAACCGATCTAAGATAACCACTAAGAACATGAGAGCACAGAGTGAGCGCCTTGGCTTGCCACGATAATTCCTAGCAGTTCCAGAGAGAAACCCCTCAGGTAGGAATCAACCAAGGGCCTTCGGCTTCGCACGACAGCCGGTTAAACTCTCGCCCATTGAGCCTGCACATATAGGTGTTAATCTCTTAATTCAACCAGTTCCCGATATGGCCTGACCATCTCCCATTATCTTGGGTATATAACTGCTTCAAACTTAACAAGTTTGAACTCTGGTAATCATGAAAGAACAGATGATCGATACCTATCTAATGATGTATCTGTGAATTTCGGGTTACGGAAATTTATTCCTTCTAGCATAGAGCAGCAATCATATTCTATGATGAAACCATACAAAACGATTGTTTCTCAGTATTAGATTATTAACATACTGATGAATTATGATTATCACTCAACAAGAATAAACTTAAAATCGTTAATACCAAAACGTTCAGCTTACATCAGCAATAAACTGATGCTTTATAGATTTTCAGTGATAAAAATCGGGTAATAACTAAGTAATAAAGCTCTGTGAAAAATAAGACAAACACAAAATCGATGGAAATTGCGTAGATACGATAGAGAGTCTAAAAGAGAAAACTAAAATTGTGACTAGGTTTAACTTTAACCTACAATAGAATTATTAATGATAAAGTCAATATTAAACATGGGATCTAATGATCAGAGGGTAATATTCAGGCATGAAGTAGAAATTACCATCGATATTATGGGATTTGTAATACTGAGTAATATTCATAGCAAATTAACTCGTATTTTTTTCATAAAACAAGATTCTTTTTATTCCTCACAATTTTTCCTGTACTAATAAATTCTATGGTAAATTTTAGTAGATTTTTTATCAATATAAAGAAGATTATTACTGTCATCCTATGAATTGAAGACTGTGTTATACGATCGGGAACATCAGACGTTCTGCTCATAATCAGATTTATAATTAATCAGCGAATAGCAATGAAGGGAAAGCTATCATGGACAGTGAAACACATCGAAACAGGTCGGTTGAGCATTTGAAGGAACTCTTGAATCGACCAACCTCACCGAACACAACCAACTTCGAAGCAGCAATTGAATAACTACAGAAGTATCACTGTTCTCTTAATACCAAGCAAAATCAACAGGGTAAGGTTAGACAGAATGAAGGGCTTACTAGACGCCAGACTTCAAGATCAACAGGCTAGATTCCATAATGATTGATAGTGTACTGAGCAAATCACGACATTGTGGATCGTGGTGAAACAATCAGATGCATGTAATTCTCAACTCTGCATCAAGTTCATTGACTACAAGAGAGAATTCAACAATATGAACAGGACATTATGGAGGCTTCATTGGCACTGTCGTGTGTCGGATAAGATGGTCAACATCATAGAGAGTTCTCATGATGGATCAGAATGCAAAATCTTGTTTGGAGGATAGCTTACAGACACATTCGAAATAAAAATCGGTTTAAGATAAGATTTCTCACTCTCACCCTTTCTCTTTCTCCTGGTGATCTACTGGATTAAGGAGACGTCAGCAACTGAAAGGAAGCAAACGATACAGTGGACAGCCAGGATGCAGTTAGACGATTTGGATTTTGCAGCTTATCTGACTCTTCTCTCGTGTAAATGCAAGAATAGACGGATATTGTCGAAGCAACCTATGCTGCGGTAGGTCTCAACATACGCGAATGGAAAAGTAAGATTCTCCAATACAACACAACATGTGCCAACAAAATTGCACTTCGTGGAGAAGCTTTAGAACATGTAAAACTCTTTTCATACCTAGGTACATTCACTGATGAGCAGTGTGGATATGATGCAGATTTGAAGGCCCGGATTGGCAGTACAAGAGTAGCATTTCTACAACTGAAGGACATCTGGAACTCAAGACAACTATCAACCAACATCAAAATCAGAATATTCAATACAAATGTCAAAACAGTAAAACTTTATGGGATGGAAACTTGAAGAAATACGTAAGCCATAGTCCAGAAGTAACAAGTATTTGTAAACAGTTGTCAACGCAAAATACTTCGGATCCGTCGACAAGAAACCATCAGAAACAGCTTACTTTAGGAGTAGACAAACAAGAATCTATCAGAGGAAGAGTTCATGAAAAAGCACCAGAAGTGGATAGGATACACTCAACTGTGATAGGATATCACCTGACTATGTCACAAGACAAGCCCTCACTCGGAATCCTCAAGGCCAAAGGAGAAGAGGAAGGCCAGGGGAAACAATACTCCTATGATTGGGACAGAAATAAAAAATGAACTGTGAAGGGAGGCACAGAACAGAAAAGTATGGATTATGATGGTCGGTGGCCTATGAACGATTGAGGATAACAGGTGTCAGTAATTAAGTAACAGGCCATATTATCCGAGATGAATTAACACTATCTGAGTTTGCACCCTCTATGCGCATTCACGAATTCAGCTGCTCCTGTGTAGATAGCTATATCGGGCGTACTGCCAAGAAACTTAACCAACGAATGAGTGAACACCTCGCAGCATGGTTTATGAAGGGCCAGTTAAAAACAATATGCAGTTTTGTTTTGGTGCATCTGGTTGATAGTTGTCATATGACAGATAAATCTGAATCTTTTCGAGTGAGTTGTCGTATACATACATCATCCCTAACGGGGTTCGATCCCGTCTCCTACACATAGTAGAAGCCATAGGAACTGCAATTTATGTGTTCAGAAGGATTTCGTGGCACCTCTATATCTTCCATGGCCGGATATAACTTAACCAACGTTTTAAATAATTTTTTGTATTGTTAATTTGTTATTATAAGCATTATTTTCAATCCAGTATTTGTTTGTATTTTTCTGCCTCTTCCCGTTTATATTCCTCCCTATCTAATTATGTACATACTTCTTATTACGTAATGGTTTAACTTTTTGTAATGATTATTTCAAGTCGATTTATTCGCGTTTGACCTACTATCTTCAATATTGAACTATTGAAATAACTTTTGTTATCGTGTTTTATTTTTCTTACTACTATCAGTACACCTATCTTCGCACTATCAACTTGTACTTCTGCCTATTATATGTAGTGACGTAATCTAATTCACTTCATCATGATTACTGACTCAAACTGCCTTGATTGGTTTGATGTTTTCATATGAATATTCATGTATATTAGAGTAAAGCCTGATGATGATCTAATCGAAAACAATACTGTTCTCCTATATGTGTTGTTATAACTATCTGACTGGTTAGCATGTTTACAATAAAGGAATCTTTTCGGAAGCATTCTAATCAACAAACATTTATTTATCATCATTCTCATCAAATACTATTACGATCTTTTGAACAAAACGCAAAATTTTGATAAGCGCTTAGAAACATCATATGTTATTAACATACAATACACATAATGCATTTATTATACTTTTCCTCCAACCATATGTTTCGTTGTCCTTATGATAAATTGTAAATTTCATATCAAATCCAACTAACTAAGGGATAACATGTGGTTATACTTGATAATTAATTTCATATTTTTAAATCACTTATTAGTTATGATTACAGAAATAAAAATGATCACATTGTGAATTTTTTAAACGAATTAGTTTATGGTAATGTGAAAAAAAAATGAAATGATTCGTTTTGTTTTTGAGTTCTGTTGGAAAACGAATTCGCAGATCTGAATAACTAAATTTTAAATAAAATGTGTTTTTTTAACAATAATCTCTTCTTTTAGTATCAATAAATAAAAAATAATTATAAAATTAACTGTTGGATAAAACGAAATGCTTATTTTTTTTTCTGTTTAGTCAACACTTTCTAAATAATACACAGACCATTTATTATCAATAAAAAGTTTCGCATTTCAATTGAAATTTTTGCATTCAAACTAAGTATTCATTTCACAAGACTTTTTTATTAATCTCACAGTTTGATTAAATCACATTGAAAGTTCCTATGATCATCCTTATGTACTCATTCAATCTGAGCGTAATTCTTATAGCATCCTGAAACTTTAAACTATTTCATATGATAAGTGCTGGTGATTTAACTAATATCAAACATATTAGGTTGAGAATATTCTGTATGAATATGCAAAATTGTCGTGTATTCAGTAGAACAGATTTTATTTGAGGTGTTAGACGTTTACAAATAAACAGGATATGATGTTTCAGAAGATCACAAAGAATTTTACAGAACGATGAAACATTTAAGTTGGCAAACAATCAATCCAGCAATATACTTCTTCAAAAAGAGTTGATTAATTTTGTACAAACCTATAGTCACTATTATCACTACTACTTTATTCCGTGAGAAATAATACATTAGATCAAACCTTATCATCATTATTAAGGTTATAACAGAACGAAAATAAGCATTACTCACTGAAATCATTAAAATATTTTGACTGAAGACAATTATGTAATGATGTGATAATATCCTCTCATTTAAAATTACGATTTCTATCACTAAGAGAGAAAAAAGTTTGAATCACACACATTATATATTTACATGAAATGTTGAGAAAAGTTAAAACTAAAACAGTTTATTTTGTAAATGCCTAACTGCTCATGATTGTTTTGAATATTATTGATTACTAGTTTTTATCATATAATTATCTATTTAATTTCATAATCTTCATGTTTGACCTGTGCTATTTCAGCTTATCACTAAAATATAATCAAACTTCAATTTAATTCACTCCGACTACCTCTAGTGTCAAGACAATTTCCATATGCTGAATGAATAAGTGAGCGGCATATATAATTACATATATATTTATGTATAACAATTACTAAGACATTACTTATTTTGTAAAGTTGATGTGGATAAAAAGTTAAAGACACTTGATTTTCATACACTTTAAATAAGTAACGCAGTGTAATAATTATCCTTTCCAAAGAGATAATCATAGATAATAATATGTAACGTAATATTATTAAGGCGTATCTTATTCATCAAAAAGATTACACTAAAACTCCTACTAATCGCTTACTGTTTTATTCAGGTTATGTTTACTATCTGCTTAACAGTTCAGAGTATATTATTGCTTTTCACGAAGTAAGCCCTTTAATTGGCTTATTAAACGATAATATCAAACGATTATTTAACAAAGGTTAGCCAGTAAGCACGATCATTGATGTTGTGAAGCAATTTTATGAGATTTATGTCATTTTTTCTGAACGTTTATAATAAGAAAGTTATGCAGGATAATCTTGTCTACTAAATAAACGTGACTGAAATTCAACTGAAGTTCATGAGAAGTTGATCACTTACTTAGACACCGGTCGGCTATCACTTAACTGTTTTGAATAGGTCGGTAGTGGAGATATATGAAGCTTATCCTCGGGATGTCTTTAAAAAAAAGACAAATTGTCTTAGAGTTAACTAATTAAACTGTACAGTAGAAATGAATACTAAATGAAAAAAAAACTAGATTTATTAGGTCTTTATATTACGGTAAACTATCTAAGTCACCCTACTCCTGTATATAATGAGATTATAAGTGTAACCAAAATGAATAATACTATCTTAATTAACAGTGAAACAGTGAAAAGGTATTAAGTGCAGTAAGGCCAGTTTGTTCTGCAGTAGATTTAGTAGATTCAATGAATGTTACTAGCAGGCTGTAAACAAATAACTAAGGCCTTAATGTCCCTTAATAAAAGAGCCCATTCTTGAACAAATCGCTATTTACATTTGATTCTATTGAAATACTTTTCTTCGCCTTCAAACGTTATTATGTTTGTAGCTGTCTGCGCACCATAGGATACAACTTCAAGAAGTCTAGTGACCATAATTTACTTGACAAGACAAAGAAAATTAAACACCAAATTATCATCTTTCATGTATAGCATTAACCATTAATACGTAATCTGAAACGTCGATCTATTGCAGCACATATAAATAAGTACAAAGTATGTGCATGGTTACCAAGTAAGCGGATAGAATATTCAAAATTTACTGTTTAGTAAATTTCTAGAGCACTGCAATAAATAAGCTTCTTTTCGAGTTATAGTAAAAAATTTGCTCTTAATATTTCTCAATCCTAATGTATTGTAATTAGAAAGATCTGTGGTATTAAGTCCGCTGAGATCCTGTGAGTCCTGGATTCGGTCATACACATGATCGATGGTAAGCACTTTAAAAAATCTAAACCAGAAAAAAGCTGATATCTTCAGCTAACTATATTTATCCAGCCTTTCAATCAATGTGAGCTCAAGATTCAGAACATCTTCAAATGATCTGGTACACTCTCTGTTTGGCTCAGTTAATATATTTACTTATTGATAGAGTTTGAACTATCGTCTAATTCCTAAAGGTTGTTTATGGTGTAAATTATAAACGTTTTTTACGTTGCAGTGTACTTTTCTTTAATCGTATTAGAAAAAACAAATATTTCTGGTTAAAAACGATTTTAGATCAATGTGCTAATCAGTAACCAAGTCATTAAATTAACTGATCATCACTACTGAAAAATCTATGTGAAAAAAGCAACTATAGCATAACCAGTGAGATCGCCAGTTCTAAAATCATAGTGATAAGACTCGAAGTAAGGGTTATTGAATACATGTAGTTTAAACACGACTAAATGAATTATATAAAACATATTTCCTTACCCTTTCTGCGATACGTCATCGATTCCATAGGAAACCAGTGGACCCAGGTTCTCACCAAAATCATTCTGATGGCTTTAAAATTATAAGGTAAATTGAGTCCATCGTGAATGATAAGCAAACTGCTTACCTACAGTTTGACATATTATCACCGCTACATGTTTGTTGAGAATAATAGCTATCAGAATTTCCCCCTCTGAAGATTATTTGTCAGAATACGGAATGATCAATAACAATGGAGGAATAAATAAATATAAAACAGCAATAACATCACGATAAAGGGAAATAAAACATGTTCCGGCACTAAAACGGATTTTAGGGCCACTATGCTATGGAGGTTATATAATATGTCGTAGTCTAAAGAGATAATATCCCGATTATATATATATATATATATATATAACATGTAATTGTTTTTGGACAAAACAATAAACATTGTTTTGGAACTATTAACAAGACCAATATGTTCAATCATATAGTAGCTCAGCTAAACAACAAGGTGCTACGTATTTTATTATTGATGTTAAATCCTTGTAAAATACATTTAGATAACGTTTAATCAAAGATAAGAGATACGAAACTACCATTCAGTCGTTAAATAATTAAACGAAGTCTGATTGAATTTTGGCTACATATAGATTAAAAACAAGTTTAGTTTATGCACACACTGTGATAAAAATTGTAGTTTTAAGCCAATTTTATTTTCCATTAATGCAAAAATATTTTCAGTAAAGCGTTTGTGACAGTACGTTTTATATACTTGCTTGGTGATTTGGAATTTCTGTAGCCTCTTTTTCAGTCACTAAAACGTTATATTCTTGCCAGAAAACATCGTCAATTGAATCATAGGCTTACATTGAATTTTCATTCACAACATATCAATTTTCCATTTGACAGCGCTTCAAATAAAATAGCTCTTATATAGTTTTATTTTCAGAAAATATAAGGGAAATTATAATCCAAGTCCTTACTGGAAATCGTTTGTATCTTATGTTTTATCTATCTCTAGTAGATATTTAAATAGACTTTATGAGTTTATACTGTTAACCAGACAGGAAAAGTATATATCGTCATATAAACACTTTATGATAAGAACCGTGGCAGTGGTATAAAAAACTAATTTTTTAAACAGTATTAGGTTAGATATGAACTATTTTTTGTAAAAGTTTTCTTTACCGAAACTATCAACAAATGCCGTGTTATAGGAAAGAATACCTCATTTTTAAAAAACCTGTTTTTACCAGTTCTACAAAGTGAAGATAATATAGGCAAATATACTCTTCAGTTAACTTGAAATAAGCCCCTTATATCTTCAGCCCTTGGATTCCGTATCCTCTAATATAAGTGTCTCAATTTATCTCATAACATGATTTATGTAAGCTGTCACCATGAGAAAACAGTACAATGAAGATGGGATTTAAGATGTTATGTTAACTAAACTAATACTTATCAACAGTAAACACTTCACATCCAAACGATGCATCATTGTTATTGTTTCTGTCAAACAAATATAAACGTTGGTATTCAAGAAAGTTTGTGAACAGTTGCTACTAGGTTAAAGACAAAAAAAGCAATAAATGCACGTTTCTCGAAAGTTTAAAGGGCTGTCATAAAATAATGAAATAATGCAACCATTTTGATTAATCTGCTTTTTTAATTTCACAAAAGAGACTAAAAAAGCAAACCTCAGAATCCCTTTCGTCTCTTTGTTATTATAAATTCGTATTGTATGCACAGATCCATCCTACAACAAAAAATATAATTAAATTAGCTGAGTGGAACAGTAAATACATTTCGGGATATGGTAATCATCATTATGATCAATATGATTTAGATTTATTTATAAGACAGTATAGCTGAGTTCACTTTTCACGAAGTTCGGCTGAACTTCAAAATGCTCATAGGTTTCAAGGAAAACATATAAAACATATGTCATTTGTTCAGCTTTAATTATCGAGAGTTATTTTTCTCGAGACTAATTATAATCAAGAAAGAACATTTTTTTCAGTAAATTTAAAAATGATTATTCTTACTAACCTAAATATAAAGTGGTTTATGAAGCTAGCTGCGAGAAACAATAAGTCGTAATGTATGATTTATATGAGAAAATCTCGTGGTAAGCTTGTACTAACCCCAATATTATGAGGAAAAAGCTGTTGTTTTAACTGAAATATTTATTATTATAACCAATTGTACGACTGATTATTTTACTGTACTCTAAGTTTTTTCTCATTCTCAACACACACTTTCCGTCTGTGTCGCTTCTATCTTTGTTACCCTGCTCGCAACAGTTTCGTCTATATCTCCTGGCACAATCTCGGTATTATTTCAATACAAGGAGATCACCAACAAATATATATTTATTGCGGGATCCGATCATCTTCCTTGTCTTTGCTTCATAGAGCGATTGAACCTATTAACTGGAACGTAATCGGTTTGTAGTGGTGATCATTGTTCACCTTGACCCACAACCACTATAAGCTGATAGCCTGATTTCAGGTTCAATTTTACATACAGTGTTGACGCAGTGAATGTATAAAACCCATCTACATTATGACGAACTAAACAGAAACTACAGTGCCAACAACTTGCAAAGTATTGAAACATTAATACACTCAATGTATCTTAGTTTACAACGCTTTGAATCCTCCTCCTATCTGCTTTGTCCCTATAATATAAAATATGTTTAGCCCTGAATATGTAAAGGAGGAGGTTATTTATATATATATTTAGTATATTCGGATTAAAACCGTTTTACTAGGCTGATCACATCCAGCTGCTCACAATCCTGGGATACTTGATGAATAAGTGCGAAATTTCTGGCAGAAATCATATGCAATGGTTTGAACAATGAATGACACGGCTCACACACACGTGTCGATTGAACAGATCTTGGTTTTGCTAACCAACAAGCGTCAGACATTCAGCCGATAATGTCAACATGAAAAATTTTAAGATCAATACAGTTTTTATTCTATTGTCATCTTGTAAAGTACTTTATAAAATAGTTGCAACTTACGATCATTGGGATGCTGCCTAAATCAATATACTTATCATTAAAATTTCTGGATTTCATGCCTTGGCGAATTCGAAAAATTTCATAACGGTCTCTTTGTTTTCCTTGGTAAGACGACATTTCGATCCTGAAAGAATTAGTATGTGATTACTAATGACGATTTTTATAAACATTGCTTCACGATTGTCAACGTTGTAGTGCATTCTAACAAAAGCAATGCTCAATTTCATTATGTCAGTTGATTGATCGCATATACACTCATAAACTATCAAATGATAAAGAATATATTTCACACATAATTCCATTTATGCAAGTATCACAATGCGATAAACACAAGCTTTCCATTCTCCTACATACCATAGCTTGTCACAAATGTGCGCTCCTATCCCCAAAATTGTAATTTTCCCTAGTGTTTCAAGTAGGGTCATTATCTTTTGTACGTCTTAACATTATCTTTAAGTCTATATTTTTAGTAGACAATAATAATATTTATTCTCAAACGACAGCGCGTTACGTGTGGCCGGCCAGCTTACTGGCGAGATCATATTTTTTAAATACTACCACATGTGTAAACGTCTGCTCAGTTAGATTAATAATAATAGTCTGTTTCTGGCAGCAAGTTTATGCCAAGTCAACCACATTAACAGTTTGATACAACTAGATTTTCACCAACTGATTACAAACACAGTACGTATACGGCGGAGTTCGCGTGTAGTGAGCATAATTCAGAAGTGAGTCTGTTAGAAAGTCTAGATTGGAAAGCACTCGTTACAAGCTGTAAACTGAATGAGCGCCTATGCAACGTTCATTTTGCGTAGAAGGAGCATGGTTACTCACAGCTAATAGGGTTCCGATAAGAGACAAAATACACCAAAAAGATCAACGAGGCACTCAAATTTATGACTCGAGCGTTGTTTAACCATTCATGGTGAGGCAGACAAAGCAGTGGTAGGTCAGCAGGAAATTCATCCAGACTGCTAAAATTAAAATAAGTTGTACTAGTAGTCTCCACATAAGCTATATAGCGATGAGAGACAAAAGGTTGTGATGTGTATCGGAGTGGATAGAGTCCTAAAAATTGAAGAGAAGTTGAAGTACGAAGCTGGATGTTTTTACATTCGGTCGGAAACTTCAGGAAGAAGATCAAAGTCTTTAGAAAACATTGATAATTATATTACTCACTTCCTATCATTTTTTCATCAAACTCCAATCTCTAAATCATCCTCATTCAGCTTCATTCAGGCTGTCTCGAAAGTTTTCTTATCAGCCAGCTACATTCGAACAGTATCAGTCGGCACGGTGAGCATTCTCTCCATTATGAAAATTAAGGAGGTTAGTAGCCAATTCAAATTAATCATTACTACTATGGAGAATTAGAAAAAAATAATATAAAATGTAACTTTGAATCCGATATGCTTTAAACATGTGGAGAGCCAGTAATGTGTTTGCAGGGTTCGAGTGAATTCAAGGATGAAGTAAGGACTATATTAGAAGTGGAGTAATTAAGTTTGTGCAGAAGCCTAAAGTAGGAGAGTAGATTGGACTTCGAATTTCTGTTCAAAAGCGGTTCAGTTGCCGGTCAATGAGTCAGCTTAATTGCAAAACCGTATAAGCTACTCAACTGATATCGACAATCTCAAGAAACTCTACCTGGAATCACTGTGAGTTTCACTTTTTTGATAAATTGCCAGTTTGATAAATTTTAATATCTATGAGTTGTTAACATTCAAAAAACCTACCTATCCGTCCTATCTCTAAACTATCTATCTACAGACCTGAATCTTACAATAATACCATTCGTTAACTAAATATAAGTGTGATATGCTATATGGATATATAACCCAATATACTGAAGCTTGAGTTGTGTGATTTGTCTGCAACATGGAATCAGTAGAGATGGTGTACTCCGACAGCGTGAGCCAAAAAAAGAGCGTAGACTAAAGAAATTATTAAAACATACCTAAAACTTAAAAGGGACTAACGCCACAAAAGAATGTATTGAGGTGTATCTGACCAGCAACTATAACGGGCGAAAAACTCAACCCACTCACGTGCATGTGGCAGAACATTTTCTTTGCCTACAGCCCCTCACGATATAGCATGACGTGACAAATCAGTGATAATGATGTTACTACTCATGTCAACTACGTCTTCCATTCATGGAACTGTTTTCACTTACTATGGAGAAATCTTGAACAAGCTGAACTGGGCATTTATGGTAAGAAGGAGTTTGCTCGTAACTTCTTAAGAGTGAATCACAACTGACGCTAATTTTTTAGGAATGAATGAGCCTAAAAGAAGTTTAAACCCAACAGGCAGGTAGCTTGCCACCTCCAAGAACTTCTTGCTGCTCTGAGTAGATGCGGCTTATAATGTAAACATTTCATAACTGTAATGACTTCTCCTCATTAGTAACGATGACTG